GGCCAAGGCAGGTGGACTCCTAAGATCAGGAGTTCAAGACCAGCCTGACTAATTTGGTGAAAACCCGTCTCTACTATAAAAATAAAATAAAATAAAATAATGCAAAAACTAGCCAGGCATGGTGTTGTGCACTTGTAGTCCCAGCTACTTGGGAGGCTGAGACAGGAGAATTGCTTGAACTCGGGAGGTAGAGGTTGCAGTGAACTGAGATTGTGCCACTGCACTCCAGACTGGGAGACAGAGCAAGACTCAGTCTCAAAAATAAAAAAACTACTACTTTAGGTAGGTCCCTGGACAGAAAGGGGTGTCAAATAAAAAAGAAAAAGCAAATTTAATAAAACAAGGCTGAAAGCTGCAAAGACACTGTTTACAAAGTATGAGTAGTAGAACTTACAATGAGGACCATCTCAAATCAGAAAAATGGGCTCTGAATTCAAGACCTGGCTTGGCTGCAAATTCCCTGTGGGTCCTTGGGCAAATCTGAAACTCATGAAAATCGGAGTTGTGGTTCATGTGACATCGTCTATGCCACCCTCCTCTTCCCATGTCATAGATGGAGAAAGTGCAGCTCAGAAAAAAGGCATTCAGTAAACTCATAGCAAATTAATTAGAGCCAGGATTTGAACCTCAGACTTAGCAAACTGATTTCTACTCTTTGAACCTCTATACTATGAAGATCAAGGTAAGTGCTTAGGTCCAATGGTCTCTAAGTAATCTTCTATCAGATGGATAAGAATTACTACACTCTTCTCACTCTTCTCCAGACCTGGAAGTCCCCACGTACATATGAGTTTCATTTTGGCAATGATTATACTAGCTGTTTCCCAGTCCCAGCCCACTTCCACAAGAATAAGACAGAAGGGCCTGAAATAAGAGAGAAGGGTCTGAAAGAGTTAGAGATGCTGCTATTAATGCTGTGCAGCACAGCAACAGGGAACTGCAGGCCTTGAACTAGACTTCATTGCGTTGGCTAGGATTCTTCTGCCCTCTTGCTTATTAAATCCCTCATCCGTCTTCTCTTTTTAAATGTTCCCCTACTATGTGCAGTAAACAGACAGCAAGGAGCTCAATCTCAGATTCCTATAATTCACTGGTTCAGAAAAGGACAGGAGGCAGGTGGAGGAGAGTGATGATCTCAGCGTCAAATAAGCTCTTACAGGAAGAACTGCAAGGGAATCCACAGTCTTTTAATAAACATGAGAGCAGAAGCCAGCCGGAACCCTCTGTGCCACATCTTCAGGAAATTAATAAAGATACCTGGAGTCCATCTAAGTTTTAAGGACATCTCATGTCCCTGTGCTAAAAATGAAATTGGTTTTCCCTAGAAGATAATGGCCTTTTAAAAACTCGAAAGAGAAAGGACAGTTTATAAAAGAAGACTTCTCTACTTAAAGAAAGATACCCCAGCTACTCAGGAGGCTGAGGCAGGAGAATTGCCTGAACCCAGAGGCGGAGGTTGCGGTGAGCCGAGATCGCGCCATTGCACTCCAGCCTGGGTAACAAGAGCGAAACTCCGTCTCAAAAAAAAAAAAAAAAGAAAGAAAGAAAATACAACTAGGGAGTCAGACGAATTCTAGTCCAAAAATCAGTCAACAACACTTTAGGCAAATCAGATTCCCTCCCAGTCACCAGAATTTCCATCTCTGAAATGGAAGAATTTGATTAGATTACGTCATAAAGTCCCCTCTGGCTTTGACATTCTGATCTCCCTTTACAGATCCAATGATTTGCTCTGGAAAAATCAAATAATGAAAGAAGCATCCACTTCCTCCTAACAATCTCAATAAGGGGATGTTTACCAGATACTCTAATAAGACCCAGATCGGGGAACAATGTCACAGAATAAAGGCACATGGGGGAAGATGGCTTTTCTTCCCTAATGAGGAATTACAAGTTGCTGGGGTAAGGGACTACCAGTGTATAAATGCCCATTCTTACAGTATACAGAATGCAAGTCATTAACTGCATTTCTGGTATGTAAAAGAAGCAAAAGCTAAGGAGAAGAATAACTATATTCCCACAGTGGCTGTGTAGTAGAGTCACAGCACTGCCCTATGATTTTGGAAACATGGTACCAGGAGAGAAAAGGAATTGGCTGGAGAGTAAAAACCATATATAAGAGAACATTTAACCAGAAGTAATGCCCTAATCAACTGGTGCAACTTTGTTGTTAGATGCTGACATGGACCTCATAGAGGAAAGGTGACTTGCCCAGGTGACACAGCCAGTTGACATTACAGCTGGTATTTGAACAGGATTCTCAGGGCTTCTGGTGCACATAACATACAACATATTGCTTCGCTCCCAAAAACAATGTGATTCTATCCAGGTTACTACAGAAACAATTTCACTTGTAACTACTGCCTCTACCTCCACTTCAAAAAACAGTAACTGCTTAATTTTATTTAAGGCAGACTAGGACTGTTTCCACCAAATTATAATAAACAATTTACTCTGGCAATATAGACAAGCCCATGAGATTTAATTGGGTATTATTCATCCTTGCTAATGAATCACCCTGTGGAAAACAGGAATAATCAACCATCTACAAGATGCCAGAAGCCTGTTCTCCTTGAAGTACAGATTTTGCCTATTAAAGAACATTAGGTATCAGCTCTAAATAGTAAACAGGGTATACTGTTTCAGATTCCATGGAGTGCAACTTTAAATAGATTTGGTTTGGAAATGGGACAGAGAACACACCGCAGTCAGCGGATCAACGTTGAGAGCAGAGAAAAGCAATGATTACACTCATTAAGTGGGTACCTGTTGACACATTTACTGTCAAGTCTAATTATTTATTGAAACTGTTATTCTTTCTTCATTACTGCCACTGATACCAACTATTGCCACAAGATGATTTTAAATTTCTACAGCATGCCCTCAGAATCGTTATTTCTCCACCTCCCAAAGGTTACTTGATAGGTTTCCATCATTCCCTCTCCACCACCTCCACCTCTGAAATATAACAAAAAGAGAAAGAGAGAAAATTCACCTTTCTTGAGAGTAATCTTTTTTTTTTTTTTTTTAAATCTTTCAGGGCTTGCTTAAAACTCCTCTTTATAGTTTCAAGATGGGTTTCAGTGGGGACAGAGTTAACTACTTTTCAAAGCTTATTCGATTAATATTTAACAATTAGCATCAGAGGGAAGGTAAGTGTGATAATTGCAGTTTCTAAATGAATAAGTTAGATCTCCGCCTCACAGAGCCGTCAAAAACTATGATAGTAGGTATCTACATTACATTCTTTCCTGATACATTTACCCATAAAAATAAAACATTAGGAAGAAGTTTTCGCAGGGTTATTTTGTGGAATAGAAAAGAAATAAAAGATGAGCAAGAGCCATCCTTATATATATATTTTTTTTTTGCTACTACATATTTTAAAAACAATGTTCTCTGTTCCTGTGTTGGCTTGCTGAAAATGATGGCTTCACAACAACTCTCACTCATAAGTAGGAGATGAACAATGAGAACACATGAACACAGAGAGGGGAACATCACACATAGGGGCTGGTCAGGGGCTTGGGGAACAAGGGGAGGAAGAGTATTAGGACAAATACCCAATGCCTGTGGGGCTTAAAACCTAGATGATGGGTTGACGAGTGCAGCAAACCACCAAGGCACATGTACACCTACGTAACAAACCTGCACATTCTGCACATGTATCACAGAACTTAAAGTAAAATTAAAAATTAATAAATTAAAAATAAATAAAAAGAAAACTTGCTGGGTAAACTAGCTTACACTCCACCTGAAAAAAAAATTAATTAATCAATTAAATAAAAACAATTATCTTTTTTTTTGGTAAGAATGAGAAGAAAATCTAAATAACTTAAGTGGCTGCAGTATCGGACTTAATTATAGAAATTTCATATTCCATACATAATCTACCTTGTTTGCACATGTGTTCTTATTTTATATATATGATATTACCTTCAAAATTCATGGAAACCCAACACCTTAATTTCCTCTCAATTCTAAATTTTCTAAGTCCTACAAATACAGGGCAATACCAAACAACTTTATTTTCCTCAAAGGTCTATGTGACTAAAGTCATGGTTGCAGTTCAAGATCATGGGTATAATATACCAAGGGAATTAATAAAATACTCAGCAGAAAACATGTGTATAGTACTTTAAATAATGATGTTAAACCCTCTACAAAGTTACTATTCTATATATTGACTACCTCTTTTTGGCTGACTTCTGACACATTACATAAAACACAGTAGAGCTCATTAGGAGGTACAGATAACAGCAGGTTAACTACAGGAGAAACACTGTATCTGGCAAATTTTACAACTATGATGGTTCCTTTAAAAACTGTTTCTTTTGTTGGCCTCCATGTTCATGGCAAACTCAAGACGAATGTATTCTTCTACCAAAGACTGATGTCCTTCCCACTGGTCCCCCAGTAGAGTGGCATTCAGATACGATGGATCCAGGGCTTCGAAACTCAATTTCTGTGTTTTTAGGATTTTTTTTGTTGTTGTTGCAGCCTTGGATTCTATCTTTTTGAGATGATTTTGCTTGGCAACTAAGAGACAGTGACTGGCTCAACTAGAAACACTTGGCCCCTTCAGAGCCAGGTGACAATGGCAGCATAGTATAGTGAAAAACACACTCAATCAAGGGCAAGGACACTAGGTAAAGAGCACTCCTGCCACATACTAGTTGAGGATACAATAAAATAATGGGTAAGAGCATTCTACTCTATTGTATTTTATGGACACTTAAAATACACATTAAATCTGAATCTTCCGTGTGGCCCAGAATTTGGGTTTTGCTATTAAACCTTAAGGGCTGTGAATTAAAAGGGAAAATTTAAATTAAGAAGACAAAAATGTAGAGTGTTCAGCTCACTGTCTTGGCCATTTTTCAGTTCTGTTCCTCAAAATGTACCTTTTTGTAATTTCTTCTATTGGGAGTAAAATCAGCATTATCGGCCCAGATGCCTATTAGTGTTTCATAAACATGAAGACACCGCTCCTCTCTTACCTCAGATAGCTAGCTCCTGGAATGCACAGTGGACACAAGGTTCAGCCAACTGCAATGCTAGTATCTGCAAATGAAATAAGCGAAAATTACTTCCAGACAACGAGCCTATCTTTATTCATTAACAGTCATAACCTTTTATATCTACCTAGTGGTTTCTTGTTTTACAAAACATTTTCACATTCATTTCGCCCCGCAGGAACCCGATGAAGAAGCAGGAAGGGATGATTCTATTCACTTCATAGGTGAAGAAACAGAAGCTCAAAGAGGGGCAGAAAGGATGAGAAGGGAGCTAACAGCGTCCTCATGATTAACTTCGCAATTACCATGTAAAATGAATATTACTGTCCACATCTACAGATGTAGAAACCGAAGTTCAGAAAAGGTAAGTAATTGGCCCAAGACTATACGGTTTAGCATTTGGCAGGGCACAAACTTGGAGCTAAAGGCTCTGCCTGCTGGTCCAGTACTCCTTCCTTTCTACTTTAGTTTTTCCTACGTTATTGGGCTGAGAAAAGACAAGGATAAATAACAACTCATTGTCTTAATTCACAAGTCTTGGTGGAGAGAGAAAATAAAGTAAAACCAGCTACTTGATTGCAATGAGGAAACGGGAAAAGAACACAGGATTTAAAACCAGTCAGATTTCCTTCTACCAATGGCCTTAGGCAAGTTAAACTCCACGAAAGTCAATTTCTTTATATGTAAACGAAGATTATGATATATACTCCATAGCCAAAGCTGCCCTTAGTTAAACTTTTTAAATATGATTTCCCTCCATTATTCCATACTTATGGTGATAGATAGCAGTGATAACATTTCTTCCCATAAATCCATATTTATATGATCAAAACATAACATTATAAGCACATGAGGCAAGGGAATATCTCTGGCTGGAATATTTATTTGACTTATGTTTCCTAATTTTAAAACACTGCAATATTTATCTATGTCACTCTGATATGACCCCATCTAACAAGAGACAGCCCAAAAACTTTTATCTCAAAAGAAAAGGGATCAAGACTTTAAGATCAAATGTTCCCTTGACCCCCTAAAAGCAAAGCAGATACCGCTTTTGTTGAAAGATCTGCTGATGAATCACACATCATTTTCAACTTTGTGCCTATAATCATGCCTTAGGTTCAGAGAGTTGGAGTTTCCAACCAGACTCCAAAAACAAAGCAAATTTGTTTCAGTAGAAGGGATAGATTTGTTGAAAAGTATCAGACTTTTAGGAAGCTTTGATAAAATGCCTTCTTTTCATAAAGGGCTCAAATCAGGTTAAGAAAAGAACATGGATCCTGCAACTGTAACCCTGAACTTAAAATAAAGGTATACACACACACACACACACACACACACACACACACACACACACACACATTTTAAAAAAAGAGTATGCTTGATCAGATTCCCTGCAAGAAACTTGCCATCTGCCACCAAAATGAAAACATTAATCATCTTTTAACACCATGCTTTTATAGTTTGAAAAAATCACATGACCATTATGTCTCAAACCATCCCCTTCATAACTCCAATGAGATCTTATTACCCAAATTTTACAAACACAAAAACCAAACTTGAACATTCACATGGTTAACATGAAGCAGATAAAAATGTAACACTGTATCTTGATACCAAAATCAGTAAGCACACTTCTACTGCATGATGTAGCCTCCCAACTGGGGGTGTGCTACTTGAAGAGGATCACTAAATAACCTCAGGAAAGGGAAACTGAGCGCACAACACAGAACATTCGATTGTCAAAGCACTAAAGCACACTTAGTTCTAAGTTCTGCTTTACTAACAAGGGAAAGGAGAAAGAGTAGGCTTCACATCTGCGGTCTAACCAGAAGGTGACACATTACTAAGCTAGGGCAAAAGGAGTGTTCAATGCAGTGTTACCATGAACACTTTCTCAGATCTCACCAGGAAAAGTTTCAAGATGCAACATCTCTGGGCAAAGTGTTGAAGCACAGCCACGTAAGCAAGTCTGTACCAGTGAGTTTTTGTGACGAGTCTGATATGGTTTGGCTGTGTCCTCAGCAAAAATCACATCTTGAATTGTAATCACCATAACCCCCATGAGTCAAGGACGACACCAGATGGAAGCAATCCAATCATGGGGGTAGTTTCTCCCATGCTGTTCTCATGAAAGCGAGTGAGTCTCATGAGATCTGAAGGTTTTATAAGTGTCTTGCATTTCCCTGCTGGCACTCACTCTGTCCTGCCACCCTCTGAAGAAGGTGCTTGCTTCTCCTTTGCCTTTTGCCACAATTATAAGTCTCCTGAGGCCTCTGCAGCAATGTGGAACTGTGATTCAATTAAACCTCTTTCTTTATAAATTACGTGGTCTCGGGCAGTTCTTTATAGCAGCGTGAGAATAGACTGAGACAAACCCTTCACCAGTAGGTCTCATTTTAAGCAATAGGAAAGCTGAAGCCTTTCTAGCTAACAAGTTCACCAGCCCTCTTCACGTGGATTGACTGGCATGTGTCCTCAGCAGCTCCTGAGGATTTCATAATGCAATGGAGTTTTCCATCATTCCATACAGACATCTGGGACAACTGAAAAATCCCACTCTAGCCTTTTGGTCATGAAGCCAGTTCTCCTTGGCTACCTCTTGGTGTGTTTTACAACTAACTGCTGATGACATGCCTGCATCATTTGTCAAACCATTCATCTTCTCTTCCCCTCAAAAATATGCTCAACCTCAGAAGCAATTTTTCAGAAGCAACTGGATTTTGGGGGAAAACAGGATGGAATAAATGAAGATATCATAATAAAGAAAGAGAGAGAAGCAAGAAAAATGACAGGGAGCAGGGAAAAAGCAGAGGAAAATGGAAGGACACGGGAAATGAAAAAGTGCAGAGATCAGTTGCTAGGGGTTTTTCACAAACCATGGCATTCTTTGAATTTACCACCACATCCCACAACAAAAAGTAAGCATCCCTAAGATGATTATCTTAATATCATGAACAAAAATTACGAGAGGTATTAAACAAGTATAAAGCTAACACAAAATACTTAATATTTTGTAAGTGCGATAGGACAAATAAGCAATATGACAGTAGCTTATAAAAACTCCCACTAGGTTAATAAACTGGCCGCTCGTTAGCCATGTTGTCCCATATATTCATTCTGAGTAGGGAGCATCATATTGAAAAGAATAATGAAATGTGGATTGAGGAACTGGACTCTGATTTTCGTGCTGTAATATTCAAATCTTTTATTCGAAGTTGCATAAAATACACATTTTTGTGTTTCTCTTTTCACAGGTCTTGACTCTGGTAATCCTAAACCACTGTGAAAAGGCCAAGAATTATTTGGTCATTTTTATAAGTTTCTGTGGCAACAGAGGTAGTAGTAAGAGGCTATTTTATACTAACATTTGTTAAAATAAAACGTTTTAAACATGGAAGTCTGTCCCCAGAAGTGACTGAAATTTTAGATTAGGCCAAAGGAATTAGATGACAAATATGGACTGTACTCCATTCCCATCATCAAATACCACATTCAATTTTAAGGGCACTCTCACCTGCCACCCTAAGATACTTATCAAGAATACAAGAAACTCCATAGCTTATGATTTGGTTGTCTCATTAAAGTAATGTTTGCCAGGATTTAATTGCTTCCCTCTCTGATTTTAATTTCCTCACCTGTCAGCATCTATCAGCAGCACTGAAATCTTCTGACATCTGGTTGATTGTGTTGAAATTAATCAGATTTTTAAAAAGTAAATTGCTTTGGCCTAAAGGTAATGCTCATCTTCTTAATTTTGTATTTATATGGGCTCTATCAGTGGAATTTATAATCTAGAAATAAAATGAGAGACTTTAGGAATTCTAAGCAGAAATATAAAGAGCTTACAAATCTCTAGCACTGGACTTCTAAAGATTAGTACTTTAAGAGTGACACCAGCAGCAGGCCAACCAGCACACCCTAGCTCTCATCCCCTTCACAAAGATAGCCATTATAGAAAACAGAATAAGGTTCCTCAAAACATTAAAATCAGAAATATCATAAGATCCAGCAATCCTAAGACTGGGCATACATCAAAAAAAAAATCAATTTTTCAAAAAGATAGCTGCATTCCCACGTTTACTGCAGCACTATTTACAACAGCCAAGATAAGGAATTAACCTGTGTCCATCAACAGATAAATAGGTAAAGAAAATGTGGTATATATTTACAATGTACTACTATTCAGCCGTGAAAAAATGAATGAAATCCTGTCATTCACAGTATCATGAATAAGCTTGGAGGACATTATGTTAAGTGAAATAGCCAGGAACAGGAAGTTATATATCATATATCCTTTCTCATATGTGGAAGCTAAGGCAAAATTGATCATATACAGAGTAAAACAGTGATCCCCAGAGGTGGAAAAAAGTAGCAGGAGAGGGAGGAGAGCCAAAGGTTGGTTAGTGGATACAAAAATACAAAGGAGGAGTCAGTTCTAGTATTCTACAGCACTATAGAATGACTATAATTACCAATGCTTTATTATATATTTTCAAGTAGCTAGATGAGTGAATTCAGAATGTTCTCAACACAAATAATAAATGTTTGAAGCAATGAATATGCTAATTACCTTCATTTGATCATTACACATTGTATACATGTATCAAAATATCACACTGTACCCCGTACAATTACGTGTTAATTTAAAATAATAATAAAAGCAAAAAGACGTAAGTACTTTTTAAAAATTTAATCAACAAGTGCTCATTGAGCATACAGTGCTTGCAAGCAGGCGCTTTAGGGTAAAGAGGAAAAAAACATGAGGCTATCTCAGAAAGTTTGGGGAAATAGGTAAGAACTAACTAATTAACCAGAACTCACTTTAACAGAAGTCGCTGACAATCTGGTCACTCAAAAGCTTTGTTTAATGTGTTTAATTGTTACCATCTGTATGCATTGTGCTTTCACACAGATAAATAATTTTATTTTTCACTGCAACTCAGCAAGGAAAAATTGATACTGTTATTAGTAATAATAGCTATATTCTCATTTGACAAGTGACAAGACTAAGGTGTAGAATAGTAAAGAAACTCTCCTGGACAT